TGTACTTATAATCTTCCATATAAAATACGGTAGTTTCCCGGCCAAAACGGGAGACTTCACAGCTATGCAATGACCGGGCTGGAGAAACAAACTGAAACGCAATACAGAGGATTAATGACAACAACCAGAAACAGCTGATCGCACGGGGATTCCACACGGAGTTAACGAAGGGGCGTGGCACACGGAAGGAGCGGACGATCGGGACAGGATACATTGTTTGGATACATTTATTTTCTTACTTTACAAATTACTGTTTTGATAAATGTGCTTAGATGTGTTTAGTACAGTATATGCTCTTCTTGTTTTATCCGGTTCATTTTGTGTTTAAATGCTAAAAAAAAAAAACATATTTAGGTGTAATTTTTTGGAGCCGGGAACCAATTCATTGGTTTTCCATTATTTCTTATGGGGAAAATTCGATCACAACTCGAACTTTTTAGGATTGGATCCGGAGTTCTGAGGTACCACTGTACATAGGACTAATGACAACAACCAGAAACGGCTTATCACACGGGGAATCCACACGGGGGAAACGGACGATCGGGGCAGGACACATTGTTTTTTTTTTAAAAAAACTTTACAAATTGTTCGGATACATTTATTTTCTTACTTTACAAATTACTGTTTTGATAAATGTGCTTAGATGTTTTTAGTATAGTATATGCTCTTCTGCTTTTATCCTGTTCATTTTGTGTTTAAATGCAAAAAAGAACAAAACATTTAGGTGTAATTTTTAGGGACTGGGAACCAATTAATTGGTTTTCCATTATTTCTTATGGGGAAAATTCGATCAGAACTCGAACTTTTTAGGATTCGAACCCAAGTTCTGAACAGATTAGTTCTGTTCTGAGGTACCACTGTATGTACATTTGTGTTCTATGTATATTTTGTATGCATTAAGGCTTGAGTTTTTCGGTTATAGGGATATTGCCATTGTGCAGAGTGCAAGCTAAGGTAAGGAGAGAATGTGTTTTCACCCCCAGGGGGATCAATAAAGTGTCATTATTACTGTTACTATTATTATTTCATGTTGGATAACGGTACCTTGGTAATGGTATCTGGGCTTTTGGATATATGACAAGTCTATATTCAATATGCATATAGTTAAATTAGTCAGGAAGCTGAAAGTGATGATTGGTTTTTGTTTTAGAAACAAATCTTGCTTTACTTTCAGTGCCAAGAAAAAAACCTCTAGAAGCTTTTTTGCCTATAAACGATTATACTGTCATATTGTATATGCATGCATCCTCCCCTACTTTACGCAGTCTTGATTCAGTGTATCATATATCGCTGTGTTTCATTACTAATGCAGTGTCTCTTACTCATCATTGCATTCTTTATGACTGGGTGTTAGACATTTGCAATGCTGGTTATTCACGAACTGGCTGTGAACAATTAAACAGGAATACTTTTGGAGCTTGCCGAAAAAAAAAAAAAGTCAGAAAAGATGAGGAGGGGAAAATGGTAGTGGCCTCCACCAGTTTTGGGACCATTCCTGTTTTGGGGGGTCATCTCATTGTTGCCGTTTTAGTGCACCTGTTATTAATTTCATTAACACCAAAACTGATTAGCAACCCCTCTGCTACTTAACTGACCAGATCAATATCCCAGAAGTTTGACTTGATGCTATACTCTGATTAAAAAGTGTTCCTTAAATTTTTTTGAGCAGTGTATATAAATATTAGTAATACATAATATTTGTTAGAATAAGTACATACTATATATCTTTAATATTACAAGTCTTGGCTTTGGGTACACTGTAGATCTTTGTGACCGTGGAATCTTGTGTTTCTGGCAGTAACTTTTAAATGTCTCCATGCCTTTAATTTTGCGTTTATAATCACAAGTTAAAAATGCAGTGCTCCCAGTACATGCACTAGTAACTTTGTACATATAGCAGCATAATTTAGATACATTTGTATATTATATAAAAAGGTCTTTATAGGAGAGTGATCTATAGTTTGTTTAGAAATTGATAAACAGACGTCTTAGTCTTGTTCAGGCTAGCAGAGTGTTAAGGCATAAGGTTGGGGGGGGTAAGAATTATTTGCAAATGTTCATGCGTATCTTTTGCCATTAACCCTCCTGTATGAAACTGCAAACTGCATTGTATGTAAGGTAAAATTTATGCAGACTAGATGTTTTCAGACTTGTACTCATTCTAAAGGTTGGTTGATAACTACTTAAAAATTTTATTTGTGCTCCATAAATTTGTACTGGAGACTTCTGTACTGTGTACTTATTCACTTAAAATTGTTAGTTGGGGTATTAAGTAATACTTCCATGGCTGATTAATTATTTTTATTTTTGCAAAAAACTGCATAATTCACACTTTAAGAAATACTTCTGTTATTTTTTTGTGAAGGTTGTTGAATAAAAAACTTTAAATACATCAAATAAGCAGAGTTGTGTAAACCAGGTTGAAATCAGCTGCTGATCAATGAGATTATCTCTAACGTATATGCAGTCACCTTGGGTCACTTCTGATTGTTGAGCATGACTGGTATGCGAGACACACGCCACTTCTGATTGGTTTACATGACTGTCACACAAGAGTGATGGCATGAATTTGTAAAACAATTCACATGACAGTTTTCAAACCTGGGTATGATGTGCTGTACAATATATATGATAAATTGTAGCCTTTGTGATTTGTTAATCTCATCATTTCAAATTGTGAAATCGAATTTAACTCGATCTATTGTGCAGCTCCACTGCAAAGTTTAAAAAAGATTCATGAAAATAAAATACTTCTTGAGTTATTGTGTTCACAAGACCAAGTGAACACCCTGAAAATTAGATCAAGTGTTAACCTTCATCCATTTTTTTTGTGAAGCGGTAATAAGAATCATTAAATACTTTTTTTTTTTTTTACTTATTCACAAGGTCAAATGTCTGCTTTCACCATTCCCTTTGCTGAGACTAAGCGGCATTGCTTCAGTTTTGGGGAGAACTGTCTTAAAATTTAATCAGTTCCAGTTCGTCAGTCATACAATGCTTCTGCAAAGTTTGAAAAAGATCAAATGCTTTTTAAGTTAACAAGAAAGCATCTGTGGCGGTAGACTGGTCCTATAAATATATGCATTTCCCATTCAGAGAATTATGATTTAAAATCCTTTCACGGGCAATTTAAAACCATATATAGCAGTGGTTCATAATTTTTTATACTGCGTAGTACCTCAGAAAGTATTACTGTCTCCACATATCACCATTAGGCCAATGACATTATGCTTGTCCATTTCTGTTATTTTCACTGCACAAGGGTTATTATTTGACATTTTCTCTCTTCTTGCTAGTGTTTGCTGCATGTTGAGTTGCTGCAGAGAGCTGCTGGTGACAATTTCATTGTACTCTTTCTCGTGATTAGTTTTTATATGTTTAATTAGATTACTAATGTTTGAGCCAATTTTCATACCTCCTCTGGATAGGTTAGTAGAACACAGTTTGTAGTCTGAAATGCTTTTTGCTGTTAAATTTGAAGTATTTCCACACAATATTTTCTCTCGTTTATTTTTCTCCTGTTAATGATATGGTTGAGGAGTCATCACATCGTACCGGTTACAGGCATCAGTGCATCGTGCTAAGGACGAGTACAAGTTAATGAGCACAGTATCAGATCCAATACCAGTATTGTACATTGTATAAGCAAAAAAAAAACATAATTTTTGTCCAATGTACAACATAATATATTTTAGGCATAATTGCACATATCCATTTAGTCAGTGGTATGACAGTGTGACACAACTGGTATATTCTTTACATCACAATGCACACAATGTAATATAATTCATGCCCATTTATATTTTTGAAAAATATAAAGGACTGGGATTTCCCTGCAATGTATTTCCCTTCAACAGACCTGCATATCTGTAAAACAGATTATACTTTGCAAAGCCTGTGTATATTAATTATTAGTGGGATTAAAAAAAAGGCCCACACCAATATGGTCACATGGAAGGCTGAAGCTACAAATGCAGTTAGCATGTGATTGTAAGCAAGACCGGTGACATCAAAATAGCTCCAGATTATGCTTTGAGCACCCTCCCTATCCACATGTATTCCCTACATTATTCAGGCTTATTTTCAGAATAGTACAATCTAGCCTCTGTATCTCACTTCTGAGTCTGAGGTCTATTCACAGAACTCAGCTCATGGACAAGAGCAGGTTGTGGATCTGCTGCTATATATGGAAAGTTGCCAGTATGAATCTCATGGCTGGCAGAGTAGTCATATTACTGTTAGGCCCTTGAGTAAGGCCCTTAACCCCAACTGCTTTAGTGGTGCCAAATAAACAGGTAGCCCTGTGCTCTGATGTCAAGTTTTACTCTCACCAGTAAATGTATTTAAACTAGATTTTATTTCCTGAGCAGACCTGTCATTTGGTCTAGCCATCTAATCCATACACTTCCTACACTCACTAACTTGTACAATTTACACTCACCTAAAGGATTATTAGGAACACCTGTTCAATTTCTCATTAATGCAATTATCTAATCAACCAATCACATGGCAGTTGCTTCAATGCATTTAGGGGTGTGGTCCTGGTCAAGACAATCTCCTGAACTCCAAACTGAATGTCAGAATGGGAAAGAAAGGTGATTTAAGCAATTTTGAGCGTGGCATGGTTGTTGGTGCCAGACGGCACAACAACCTTGTTGGTCTGAGTATTTCACAATCTGCTCAGTTACTGGGATTTTCACGCACAACCATTTCTAGGGTTTACAAAGAATGGTGTGCAAAGGGAAAAACAGTCCTGTGGGCGAAAATGCCTTGTTGATGCTAGAGGTCAGAGGAGAATGGGCCGACTGATTCAAGCTGATAGAAGAGCAACTTTGACTGAAATAACCACTCGTTACAACCGAGGTATGCAGCAAAGCATTTGTGAAGCCACAACACGCACAACCTTGAGGCGGATGGGCTACAACAGCAGAAGACCCCACCGGGTACCACTCATCTCCACTACAAATAGAAAAAAGAGGCTACAATTTGCACGAGCTCACCAAAATTGGACAGTTGAAGACTTGAAAAATGTTGCATGGTCTGATGAGTCTCGATTTCTGTTGAGACATTCAAATGGTCAGAATTTGGCGTAAACAGAATGAGAACATGGATCCATCATGCCTCGTTACCACTGTGCAGGCTGGTGCTGGTGGTGTAATGGTGTGGGGGATGTTTTCTTGGCACACTTTAGGCCCCTTAGTGCCAATTGGGCATCGTTTAAATGCCACAGCCTGCCTGAGCATTGTTTCTGACCATGTCCATCCCTTTATGACCACCATGTACCCATCCTCTGATGGCTACTTCCAGCAGGATAATGCACCACGTCACAAAGCTCAAATCATTTCAAATTGGTTTCTTGAACATGACAATGAGTTCACTGTACTACAATGGCCCCCACAGTCACCAGATCTCAACCCAATAGAGCATCTTTGGGATGTGGTGGAACGGGAGCTTCGTGCCCTGGATGTGCATCCCACAAATCTCCATCAACTGCAAGATGCTATCCTATCAATATGGGCCAACATTTCTAAAGAATGCTTTCAGCACCTTGTTGAATCAATGCCACATAGAATTAAGGCAGTTCTGAAGGCGAAAGGGGGTCAAACACCGTATTAGTATGGTGTTCCTAATAATCCTTTAGGTGAGTGTATATAAATGTTGGTTGGATCACCTGGAAATGTTAGTGTTTTTTTACCAGAATGCTGTGTGTCCTTGTTGAATAATACAGTGGTAGCTCGGTTCTTGAACTCACTAGAACTCGAATTTCTTTAAAGTTGAACAAACCAGTTTGACCTAGAACTCAACCTGAATATCAGAAGTTGTATTGGAACTGTTTTGTTAATTTGTTCGAGCTTTAGCCTCTAGGGGGTGCAGTTTTCATGCATCCTTTGCCATCCAATGTTGTGACGTAATGTTGCAGTCCCAGTGAATAGAGTGTTAGGAGAGGTCATGTGACAGGAATTTTCTTTGCAAGAGCATGTTTCTGGTGTAGTAGGCCTGATGCAGCATCTTGAGCCATCTGTTTTGTAGTAGTCCTTTGAGTGGCAAAATAAGTAAGTAAATACATTTATATACCATTAACACAATGTATATTGCTGATTATTGTGACATATTTACAGCTGTTTAGTTACTTTGTTGATATGTATGGTAATTCAAGTTTTCGCACTACAGGTGGTGTAATATGCCATGTTATTTATCCAGATCTAAAGTTAATGCACTACTTGTATTGTTATGTAGAAGACTTGCGTGTAGATTTACCCCTTAAGCTGGGAACAGCTATTTTGCATTATTCATTAATTAATGCCTTTGTATTTTGTGTATTTATTTCAGTTTCACACTTTCTTGTATTAAATCCTGTCCAACTACAACATCAGCCTGTTCCTTGGAGGATGTGGTGCAAGAGAGAATTTAGCTGGCTGTGAATCTCAATATAGGACAGGAGTCACATTGAGTGCAACAGTATAGAAGTCGAACCGTGAACGCTGACCTAATATAAATTGTACGAGCTAAGGCTGCACGAACTTTTTCCTTGGGTTTCATGTGTTTGCTGTTTGTGGGCCTATACGCCTTCTTGGGTCACTTCTGATTGGTGAGCATGACTGGCACGCAAGAAGCATGGTGCTTGTGATTGGTGAGAATGACTGACACACAGGGAGCATGGCATGAATTTGTAAAACAATTCTCAAAGCAGTTTTAAACCCTGGGTTCGACGTGCTGTGTAATGTATATCCTAAATTACGATTTCTGCGACTTGCTAATCGCGTTATTTCAAATAGCGATTTCAATTTGAAATCGATAAATCATGCAGCCCTAGCTACGAGAATGATTCCTGGTCTTAGAGGAATGTCTTATGAGGAGAGTATAGCTGAGCTGAATCTGTTTAGCCTTGAGCAAAGGAGACTAAGGGGGGACATGATCCAGGTCTATAAGATTCTAACGGGTCTGGATGCTGTTCAGCCAAATGGCTATTTCAGTATTAGTTTAAATACTAGAACTCGTGGCCATAAGTGGAAATTAGTGGGAGAACATCTTAAAATTAATTTGAAGAAGCACTTCTTTACACAGCGTGTAGTTAGAGTATGGGATAGTCTTCCTGCTAGTGTAGCGGAAGCTAAAACCCTGGGTTCCTTTAAATCAGAGCTAGATAAGATTTTAACAACTCTGAGCTATTAGTTAAGTTCTCTCCAAACGAGCTTGATGGGCCGAATGGCCCCCTCTCGTTTGTACATTTCTTATGTTCCAAATTTGAGGGAACAGTTTGAGGAAGGCCCTTTCAGAAAGTAATGTAAAAAAAAAAAAAAAACGATTCTCAGATACTAATCGATACTAAAATTTTGTATCGAGTTCGATATCAATTAGCGCTGCCAGTTTTGCATCTGCAAGTTCACGGAAATCACCGGCAGACTACAACAATTTTCAACAGGAATTGCAGTGGGCAACCCCTCCCCCGACAACGGCTACCTGGAGGACCCATTGTTTTACATGAGTGACACACTTTAAACATGGCAGTGGGCGAAAGCAGCTCCAGTTTTAGTTCTGCAGCACCAAGCTTGATAGAGAATGTAAAAAGCAGGAACACTGTCTGGAAATAGTTCGCATTTGAACCAGATGAACAAGGAAAACCAAAAGATGTGGACAAGCCCATTTGCAAGAAGTGCTTCAAAGTTGTCGCAACCAAATTTAGCGAAGCCTTTGAAAGACCATCACTCCGAATTATACGTAGAGTTTCGAGAGGAGAGTGAAGTTGTTGTTCAAACATATAAATATGAAAATATTAATATTTTAAGTGCCACTGTCATGCAATACTGTTCAAGTAAGTTAACTATAAGAAAGGCTGTGTCTTCGCTTCTCTCTCTGCGTTTTACAATCATCTAATTGCACAACGTGCATATATTTTCACTGCTGCGCCATGCGAAACGAGGAGTGCTTTTTTTTAGTTTGGCACAAAAACATTAAAATACATTTCTTTCCTTTATTCGCTCATTTATTTATTCATTAATTTCTTTGTATATATATATATATATATAAAAAATTTCTTTCGTTCATTTATTTATTTCTTTATTTTTGGCCATGGTGCCAAACCTATAAAACTCCGTTGTTCGTATTTGACAATCATTATGTGTCTTATCGTCCCAAGCTGAGGCTGAGAGAAGGGGACCAGCAGCCAGATCTAAACAGCCACAAACACAACCCACTCTACCAGCACTGTTTGAACAACAGTGCCAAATAACCAAAGGCACAAAAGCTCAACAGGGCAGTTGCCAAGTACATTAGTATGGACCAGATCCCTGTCTAAACTGTTAAAAATATTTTATTTATTGTACAATGTTAATGGCCTTTTTCTATTTATTGGGTTTATTTTTTCACTGTATTGTTTGTATTTTATTTTTTTGGTGGTGTTCTGACTTTATTTAAAAAAAAAAATCCTGTGTTTGTTTTTCCCCCCCTGTAGTATCGAAAATAGTATCGAGCACCATCCTTAGTATCGGTATCGACTTTGAAATTTCAGTATTGTGACAAGCCTATCAGAAAGGTCCATAAAGACATGGTTAGGTGAATTTGGTGTGGAATAACTTGACTGGTCTGCACAGAGCCCTGACCTCAACCTCAACCAACACCTTTGGGATGAACTACAATGGAGATTGCAAGCAAAACCTTCACGTCCAACCTCACGAATGTTCTGCTGGATGAATGGGCAAAATTTTTACAGACACACTCCAACATCTTGTAGAAAGCCTTCCCTGATTAGTGGCAGCTGTTACAGCTGCAAAGGAGAGCCAGCTCCGTATTAATGCCTATGGATTTAAAACAGCATGTAATGAAAGCTCCTGTAGCCACAAGGGCTAGGGTGTCCCAATACTTTTGTGCACATCGTGTGTGTGTGTGAGTGAAAGAGAGAGAGAAGCATGGACTGAAAAAATTTAGGACCACATGAAGAACTTTAGGAGCACAGTGAAAATGTATCAAAAGGATTTCCTCTTAAAGGATGAGGATACATTTACATGTGAGATTACTTAAATATACACTCACCTAAAGGATTATTAGGAACACCTGTTCAATTTCTCATTAATGCAATTATCTAATCAACCAATCACATGGCAGTTGCTTCAATGCATTTAGGGG